GGTGTGGCTGGACGGCGCCAGCGGTTCCTAAAAAGCAGCGGCGACCCCTCGTTCTCGAGCGATGGCTCTGCGGGAGCTGAAAGTTTGCCTCCTTGGGGTGAGTGATGGGGGCGGGAGGGCAAGCGCGGCTTCTTTTTTCTTCTTTATTAAAGCTGCGGGCACCGGGCAGCTTTAAAAGTTGGCTTTTTCAGCGGCGCCTTCCTCTGAAAAAGGAAGGGTGTTTGCTCTCCAAGGCGCTCGGCGATGCCTTTCCCTGGTAATCATTTCCTTGGTTGGGGGCGGGGAGGGTCACCACCTTAGAACTGGGATCGTCTGCCTCCCCCCACGAGAACTGAGTTAACAATTTCACCCCAATTCTTGGCAGGTTTCAAAGAGGTGAATTCTAGGTCAGCTTTTTTAGGATTATCGTCTGACAGCCCTTTGACTTCTGGAACTAACGATATGGATCTGGGCTGTGACGCTCCTTTTTTTTGTAAACTTCAAGTAGCTCCTCATAATGCATATGTATTGAGAGTCCAGCCTCAGCTTCCTCTGTAGGATTTATTTCCAAATGTGTGGTCGAGGCTGCAACTTTTAGGAGGGTCTTGTCCTTTCTTGGAAAGGAAATGTATTTTCTTGTTTGTTCTCCAACCTCTTCCAGAATCATTATTCAAAACATTTCTGTTAAAAAAAAAATGAAAAACATATTTTGAGAGAAGCCTGTTGGGAAGTTTTTGAGACTGATTTAAACAGTATGCAACAAAATCTTCTATCTTAAAAGAAAGGGGGTGATGGTTAAGGCTGCAGTCCCATTTAATTGAATGAATCTTATTTCTGAGGAGATAATCATTGGATTTCACTGTAAAATATTAATATCTAAATAATGTAATTTGAATTAAAGTCCAATTCTGAAAGATGTTTATAGGAGAAAAATACACAGTATTCCAGAAAAGCAATATTCTCTGTTTAGTAGAATTGTTCTGCATATGAAGGAGTTAGTGAAACAATAATTTTGTCCATTCACTCTGCCCTAAGATTGGTATAAAATACAAAGGCAGAATATTTCATATACCTTGCATTTAAATGCAGAAGAACATGTATGTTTTTAAGAATGTTGAAAGAAATGGAAAGATACCTTTCTTTTTTCTTTTAAAAATATCAGCATTATTAAATCCCAGG